GTCTACCTTTAGTGACAAGTTTAAGGGGGGCTGTAAGCTCCATGAACTGAGAAGATACCCCTCCCCCTCCTCTCTTTGTAATATGAGTGGAAAATGTTTCAAACTATTTGAAACACCTGCTTAGATCCAGTCAGTGTTTCCCATTTTATGCTGTGTGAGACATGATCTTCACGTCAGAAAACACTATCATGCTGCATGTAGCTTTTGTGAGACAACCATTTTCTGAGGATGTAACCATGAGGAAAATTCACCTTAAATAATTGTTGTCTCCATGGTTTCATCAAATGTCTTTATTGATCATGTCTCTTAATCCTTAATCTTTAATCTTAAACCTCAACCTGCAGGGTAGATTTTATTACCCTTGTGTAACCAAAATGACGTGTGGGGCCTCCTAATCTCTTGAGATCCGGGCAAAGTTGGTTTGATCTCCCCCCAACTCACAACCTTCAGGAAGTCTAAAACCCTCCTGGAGATTCTGGTGCCCCCCCCCAAAGGACTCAGATTCTCAGATTTTCCTCTGCATTTGAGCACATGTCTCCTCTGGGACCCTTTTTGTTATGTTCTTTGTAGACCTAGATGTGAAACTCCACCCCCTTCCTAAATTCCCCCCAAGAGCCATTTACACAAAATATGTACAAGTATAGTGAACTTTCCTGGAGATTTTGTGTGTGTGTAGGAGGAGAGATGGAGAATCAATGTGTATGGCTATAAAATGAACACTAGGCATTCCCCTTTGATCCCCAAAGCATCATTTGGAAAAGTGTACTAGGAAAACATCACCCTGTCCCCATCTTAGCAGCTCTTGATTTTTTCCTCTTTTCCCATCGCTTCTCCTCATCATCTGCCCACCCCACATGGTACCTCAGGAACTCCAAATTTTTTCCCCACCGTTACACAGATAAATGCATTTTCAGATTCAACTAGGTGCTCAACAGAACAAAAGGGACCTATTTATCAAAAAAGGGGCAAGTTTTCAGTTAGGTTATGAATAGCATAAAGAAAAATCAGTTAGGTTATGAATAGCATAAAGAAAAATGTCTCCAGTACCACCATTTCATGGATGAGAAAGTGAGGGTCAGAGAGAACTGTGTCTGTCACTCCAATTGTCCTGTCTGGCTCAGTCCCCCAGATCAGATGCACACTGTTTCTATGGGAGAAGAGTCTGGAGTAAACTCAGAATGAACTCTATCCCTAAATCTCCGTGAGATGTTGGGTGCCCAGGGCAACTCTGACTTGATCTCACATCCTAGGTTGAGCTCAAGGTTATGAGAGGCTTCCCTCTCTCTTCCTCATTGGGGCATGGCATTCTTGGAAGGCAGTGCCAGGGCCAGGGCCCAGATTTGAGTCTTTGACATATTGCTGCCAGGTGCTAGAGAATGAATAGGCCAGGGTAGAGAACAAACAGAAGGTAGATAAGAGACTGGAAGCAACTGTACTACTGGGGAGTGGGAAAGCTTAGAGAGGTCCCAGGAATTGCCAGGTGCTAGAGAGACCCACGTCTCCTCCATTAGATGGGTTTTGGCTCTGTAGACCTCTGGAATTGGGCAGATTTCAGTTCCTATTCAGTCTCTGCCTTTGTGTTGGATAAGATGGTCATCCAGTAACTTTCACCCCCACCTCTACTGCAATTCCATGGGAGGAGTAAATTTACTCCCTTTATCCATGACTTGGCCATGGGACTTGCATTGCCTAATATGTTCGTAGGCAAGATGCTCGGGAACTTGAAATGCACTTGTGCTGCTGGGCTTGCTGTCTGGTGTATCCCTGACATGACCATGACACGAACGTGCCTAGGTAGGCTTACTGGTCTCAAGAGAGAATGGGAGGCATGTAAAACAAAGCAGAGCCCATCCTAGGTTAGCTAGTTTACAGATTCATGAGCTAAATAAATGTTTACTGTCATTTTCTGGCATGCTTATTATGCAGCACTACTGTGGCCATCATGAGCTAATTAATACAATCTCTCACCAACTGTGTGACTTGGGAAAGCTGGCTTCCTCCATGGAGACCCACAGGAAGAAGGCAGGACTTAGTAGAGCTCATGGAAAGCCTGGGGTGAGCCCGAGGACAGTTCAGGGAATTAGTTAAATGTCCTGTCCTGCACTAACTGGAGGTAGGGCATCTCTAAGGGGAATATTCTAACTTCTAGGTAATGAAAGAAGGCACGGTGCATGATAGAAAAGACACAGGTGGGAGGGTGGGGTTGTAGAGAGCCAGGCCTTCCACCCGCCAGGGTACTGGGGGGAGTACAGATGATCTGTGCCTCTCTGAAGGGTGATTAGGTAACATGTATACTCCATTTCCAGAATTACACCTATAGGTGTGCTAAACGAGCATACACACACACCACCACCACCACCACCACCGCCACCAAAACCCACTTGCATATGTGCACAAGGAAATATTGTCAGACGATCAAGATACTTGTTTAATCAGCTAAAAATTAGAAATGACTCAAATGTTCATGGCTTCCTAGCCATGGACTCTATGGAACAGCCTCTGGTGGTTAACAATAATGAAGGAGCCCTTTATGGGCTAACATCTTGAATCTCGAAGACACATTACTGGATTCAGTTCACAAAGTAGAGTATAATGTTTATGTTGAAAAGCAAACAAAACTGAACCAAACACCACACAGCCAACTGTACAGCAGTGGTTGCCTCAGGGGAATTGCTAGGGGAAAGGACGGGGAGGGGTGGTCAAAGGGACTCTGGCTTTCTCTGTAATGTTGCAAATTTGAAGACAAGTGGGTCTGGATTAGAACCTCACCCATGTCACATACTTGGGTTTTTAACTCTGGGCAATTGTGTCTCTCTTCAGGCCCCAGCTGATGGGGATGTGGAGGAAATGAGTTGGTGTCTGTGGAGGGTCTGACAATGTCTGGGCGCAGGAAGGGGCTCATTAATCTCAGTTGAAAACAAAAGATAGGGCCAGCTGAGACCTACACAGCCCAGCCTGCAGGTCCCTCTGGAGCCCCATTTCCTCGGGCATCCTGCCAGGACTACTGGACACATAGAGCCCTGGCAACACTCCAGCAAATGAAGGCTGTAGTCCAGCCGGACCAGTGCTCTGGCTTATACAGAGCATCTCAGGGCATGAGAAGCATATTGTGTTGTGTGACCTCAAGTAGGGAAGTCAAGGGCATGGCAGGGACATCTGCAATGATCTTCAAAAATAACAAGTTATGAACGCCTCAGAGCTGCTGGCTGGGTGAGGGGGAGCTTTTCCCAGTCACCCTCCAGCCTGTTAGTGACCATTGATGGCTCCTGAATTCTCGCTGGAATGCTTGGAATTCTGGGACATGTGTGTCCTTGGCTATTATTTCTTGCTTGAGTGGTCTCTCAAGAACCCACTCAAATGGACAAAGAAGATGACAAATTCACCCTCAAAGCTCTACATGGAGTCAGGTCAGCAAAGGTGAACTGGTGGCTAATTAGCTGAGACGGGGTTCCAAAGGGATCTCCTCAATCTGGACTACTGAGCATTCCCTCCCACCCACCACGCTTCTAACTTGAGTTTCAGCACATCCCCAGCCTGCCCCAGGAATGCATTCCTTCAGAGGGTCATGACTGCCTGGGCCACATCCTCCCATGCTCCGCTCCCTGCACCTTCCATCAGGCTTTAGCCAACCCAGCATTGGCCCCCGTGTCCCATTCTTTCCATGATTCCCTGGTAATTTTAGGTACAAGCCAGTCTCTCTGGAGAGTGGGGCGGGGCTGTCCCTTTGGGTTCCCAGCATGGATCCACAGTCTGCAGGAGAGCCTGTAGTAGATCTACAGTCCCCCTCCCCAGCAGTGGGGCTGCTCCCTCAACTGGAGTCTGAATGATCTTTCCATAACACAGACCTCATCATTTTAATCCCTCCTGATGAAGACCCTTCCAAGCCATCCCAAGACTCATGTCCCCAAGGCAGCTGCTTCAGGGGCCTGCTCTCACTCCCTGAGGTAAGACCTTCTAGGCTCTCTGGTCTCCTCCCCTGTCCCCTCTCTTTCCCTCCCTGCTCTGCCTAGTTGGCAATAATGCTTTTACTTCTTTCTGGCTTCCTATTGGCGGGATCTAAACCTGTTGGAAGAGGATTCTGGAAATTGTGATTCCCAGGCTTCCAGCCCTGGCTGCCTATATAGTACCCCCCTATTCATCACATCCACTGCTATAGTTCAGGGGACATTTCCCTGTCCTTTGCTTCCACCCACATAGAACTGCTTAATACCATCTATTGACTCAATCTGCTACTCATCTTTCCCAAGTCTCCCTTGACACAGCTTTGTCTTCTCTCCCCTGAAAAATCATATTTAACCATATTAAAAGCCATTTTGAGCCAAGCAGTTCCCATAAGCCTTGACTGAGATGACTCATAATCTCTTCTCTGCTTCTGGTGGGCATTTATCAAGGTATGCCATTTTGCATTTGCTGGAAGGCCCAAAGTTCAGGACTCTACAGCCTTTTCCAGCCTCCTCCCTTCCCTCCCAGGGGAACACTGATCACTGCTGTCATGGCAAATCTGGTCAGCATCCTCTCTTCATCTTCCAAACCTTTCCATTGGTGTCTTTGGCATTTATTCCTGGCCCCAAATCCATGAACCTTTTCTTGATCTGGTGGTCAATCTTATTTGCTCCTCAACCGCCTAGTCCACTGCAGACTGCCTCAACTGACACAGTTTCCATGTTAAAGATGTTTTTTCCTCTTCCTGAACAAAGGCATCTCTGAAGCTGACCACTGAGGAAACAGTGTCTTCCCCAACCCTTCCTGAGCACCCACCATGTACCTGGTTCATCTGGTGAGCGAGGCAAAGGCCTGACCCTTGTGACCAGCCTGTCCTTCATTGCCAGTGTGGTGTTTCTCTAGTTCCCGGAGAACTCCTTGACTTCCTAAGGGAGCTTCCAAATTTCTTTACCCCAGCATTTTACCATAAGTCCTTTTCTAAATCAAGACACGCCGTGTGATGAAGTTTGGGGAGTATTCCTCACCAGGAAGTTAAAAAATAAAACTGCAAGGCAGCATCTGTTTCGATAGCTTTATTGGAACATGATGGTAACACAGAACATGGATTTGGAGGCCCATCGCAGATGCTCCTCCTCTAGACAGCATGGGCCCCACTTCTGCAGCCAGCAGAGGCTCCGGGGAGCCTCCAGAAGGGTGGGGATAGCTGAGAGAGACACAGACCCAAGGAGGCCCCTGCCATGGCAGGCAGTGGGTGGGCACACTGGGTCAGAACCCTGACCAACTGACACTGTGACCAGCCAGACTGGTCTTATGCCTCCAACTACTTGGCCATGAGTTAGAGACCCACCTGCCTCAGACTCCCGGGAAAACGTCTGAGGAGGGGATTCTGGGGCTTCTAGAAGGAATTGAGCCCTCTGAGATTGAGCACCTCTGAGGGCTACTGGGGCAAATCATGCCTTCCGGTATATTGGCAGATAAACTGCTTAAAGCCCTTACTAGCTCTTCTAGAGGCTAGACATACAAGAGTTAATAGAAACAGGCAGGGCCCATGACCTCCTGAGTGGGGGAGACGGACAGGGGTGAGGAAACCAGATAGATGGCTGTAAATTACAAACACGTGATGGCTTCTGAGGACAGTTGTGGTGTGTGTTGGGGGAGGCCTGACCTCATGGGGTGGGTCAAGGAAGACTTCCTCAAACAGTGATATTTCAGCTGAGGCCTCATGGCCAGACGGGTAAGAAGAGTATTCCACGTCATGGAAATAGTTTGGTGCATGGCCCGGTAGCAGCTAGCAGCAGGAGAATAAACAAACAGAAAGGAGAGGCCGGGAGGGTTGGGATGAAGAGACAGAGCGGAGCCTGGCAGGAGGAGGCAGGAGGCTCCATGTCGGGGCTGAGCACACAGGACCACTGGGCCATGAGAAAGATGACAGCCTGCGTGTGCCACGTGACCACATGACCAGGGCAGCCTTCCGCATAGCCCGCTGTGGCTGTTGGGAGCGGAGGGTTGAGGGAGGCCGGTGGGAGACGTGGAAAGCTGTCAGGAAGCTGTCTCAGTCTCCAGGGATGGCAGTGTGGGACCGAGTGAGGACAGGGCAGGTGGAGAGAATCAAGCAGATGGGTACATGTGGAGCTAGGACTCGAGAAAGCTGACCAGGAGGAGCTAAGGCTGACCTTCGGGCCCAGAAGGCAGGCTTCTGTCTGAGACAAGGAACCTGGCAGAGGGGCAAGTGCAGGGAGCAGGTCAAGAGTGTGGTTGTGAACATGCTAAACTAAAAGTCGGTACCTTCGAAACACCCAGGTGGAGATGTCAGGTGCACAGCCATGAGCAGAAAGCTCCCAAAGGAAGCCTAGGCTCCAGGCACATATCTGTGAGTCATTTCCTCACAGTAAGTGTCCTGGCGACTTCCGTTATGAGGGTGCAGATGAGGCCACAGAGGGAAAGAAATCGCAGTGAGAAGAGAAGGCTCATGGGACAGGCACATCTGACAGCCTGGGAGGGGACCGTGAGCCACAGGAGGGCGGGGAAGGCCTGGGTGTGCACAGAGGGGGGTGCCACCTGGGGCTGTTGGAACTGAGGGTGGAGTGGGCTCAGGGAGGGGCGGTGGGTAGCAGGGAGGATCCATGCACACCCTCGTGTTTCTCCGGGGCTGTCAGCACCCCGACCTCCTTGGGTCTCTTCAATAACCCTGTAAATAGCAAAGGGGGATCTACCCCCTTGGATGGAGGAGCCAAGAGCTGCTCAGAACCATCACTTCTAATGCAGCCAAGGTCACGCACCCAGCAGAGGATGCTGTGGGGTCAACTGCTCCCACCATGCCATCTCTCCCTGACTCTGGCATCCTACCCACTGTCCTCGCACCTGCCCCACCTGTTTGCTCTGCTCCGCACCGCTTCTTGTTGATGAAAAGCACCAGAGAGGGGCAGTACTGCAGCGTGAAGGGATCCCTCAGGCTCCAGGTCTGAGCTAGAGAAGGGTAGGCTGAGTCAAGCACACACCTTGACCTCTCCCCTGAGTGTGGGCTTGAGGCCAGACTTTCTGCCCTTGCTCCTGTTCATTCATTTACTCAACAACGATCTTTTGAGTGCCTCAAACGAGCCAGGCACACCTGCTAGCTGAATGCCCTGGGGGCAGGTCCCGTCTTCTTTCGAACCTCAGTTTCTACCTCCATAAAGTAGGTTGGTGCTTCTTACCACGTTATAAGGATTACATGAGCTCGTGCAGGTGAAGTACCTGCACACTGCAGGTGCTCATTAAAGGCTAATTTCCTTCCTTTCTTTCCCTTCCCTTGCCTTTCCTTTCCTTCATCCTACAGAATCCATGAAGAAGTGAGAGGCTCACTCTTTATGGCCACACCCTCTGCTGTGCTCTGAGGGCCTGTGCATTCCCATGTGTACAAATCCATGCACACACCTGTGCACATACCTCCCCCGCATCCAGCCATCTCTGCTCATGACTCAGGGCCAGCACCAATGTGAGCTTTGAACCCCTGGGATTCAGTGGACCCAGGCCCAGGAGAGTTCTGAACATCTGCTGGGAATACTGAGCACAGAACAGGCTGTTCCACACTAGACCCAAGGACCCCAGCACTCCACTGTGTGCTCTGGGAGTCCCTAGACTCAGGCTAGGGTGCATCTTCGGTGGCTTTGGGGGCTTCTGGGTCCTTAATGGCTCCAGGAGTCAAATCTTGGTGACCAGAAGCAGTATCTTCTGTGTCCTGGGCGGGGTCTAGACAGCCTCGGAGGGGAGAGTCCTCACCGCTTCCTGGGGTGGTGTCCTCGGTGGCTCCTCAGACAGTGGCTCGCCTGGCTGCTCCTCTGAGGGGCCTCTCATGTGTCTCTGGAGGAACCTAAGTCCCCAAAGGCTCTTGCAGCAGCTTAGAAGGTTGCTGGAGCACACAGTGCAGGATAGCGTTGGCTTCCTGAGGAGACACAAGCACAGGTCAGGGCTGAGATGACCACGGAGCAAGGCCAGTGGGCCCAGGGCCCACCCTCTGGCCTTTACTTCTTCTAAGCCAGCCTTGGGCAGGCAGGAGTGGGGGTGGGGTGGGTGGGTGGGATGGGGTGTGGGCCCCTCCTTCGCCACCAAGGCAGCAGGGACTTCTTCCCTCAACCCACAGAGAAGAGCATTCAGGAGACCTGCTTTCAGATCTCAGGCCTGCTTCCAACATGCTGGGTGCCCCTTAACTCCTCTGAACGCCAAATGGAGGAAAAAATAACCACCTTCCCAATGCTTGGGAGATTTAAGTGTTACCAAGTATGTACAAAAGTACCCCACACATTGCCCACTCACAATAATATTATGCCTGCTGCCCAATTAATGTTTACTGTTTCTCACTCCTTAATGAAATGATTCCTAAACATCAACAGTATGCCTTGCATGGATGGAAGGAAGGCTGAGAGAAGACACACAGATTTGTTCAGCCTTGGATTCAAGTCGGTTGTGAGCACATCTGTCCCCAGTAGAATGAGTGCTCCCCAAAGGCGAGGCTCTTGCCCTGGCATTTAGGGCTGCCATATAGTAGTTCCTCAGTTAATGGCTGTTGGGTTGATCTCATCAAAGAACAGAGCACTGAAGACTGAGTTAGCTTAAACCTTGGTAGGAAAGTTTTTAACAAAGTATCTGGCATATTTTTTTAGGAAAAAGAGGGTTTTCCTCACTCACTCCTGGGCATACAGAGTTCCTTGTCCTGTGGCCTGCTAAGGTGCTGGTGGCAGACCTGCTTTTCTCTTTAGCTACTTTTGGTGACTAAGAATTCCTCTATCACTTTTATTTCAAGCCAGAGGGGAAGGCTCAAGGTGGCGCTGCTGTGTTTTCAGCACCCAGCACCTGCAGATCTCCCTTTATTAGAGCAGAGAACAGGAGGCAGGCTCAGAGCTTCAATCAAGGAATTGGATCTGCTCAAACTTTGATGACATTGTTTTGTGTCATTGTATCTCTGCTCACAAGTTCTTTTTGTATTCCACAAGTGATTACTGCATTTCCATTTTTGGTGACAGTATGAAGTCTCCTCATAAATACATTTCTGTGAAAACAGTGAGTTAGTGTAGAGTTTTAAGTGCACATAATGCAGGTGGGAGAAGATAATGGGATGGACTGGACGGGGAAGGGAGTGCCAGGGGCCATGGTCTGGGGAGTGCCATTCCAAGTCCTCGACCCATCCCACCTCACCCTGAGCCCCAACACAGGAGAAGTTGAGTACTGCACAGTGTCCCTAGAGACTCTGGTGTCTCTGTAACTCTAGGGTAGGACAAAATCTGGCTTCAGCTCTGTCCAAAGCCATGAGTGCTCTCTACTTTCTGGCTTCTCTGCCTAGGCTGGAGTGGTAGCTTTCCTCGCCAGTTTTGTGCTGGGAGCCACCTGTTGCTTTGGTCCTGAGACCCACTGCAATTCCTTGGGGTGGAGATCATCCCATGAAGATCACACCTGGCCTCAGCTTCTGCCATCATCTGTTAAGGTAATCTGGCTGCCAGAGGAATCAAACTCCCTGCTCCTCCTCCCTTCCACATGGAGAGGGGGAAGAGGCTCAAGCTTCCCTTTAGCATCTGTTTAATGGGGTTGTGCATTTGGACACCTGACTTTGTAAGATGCAGATGACAGCTGCCCCGGACACCCCAAGTTCCCCTCAATGTGTAGGTATGCTCCAGCTAAGCTACTGGTGTAGATCTCGAATGGCCCAAGCTCTCCCTGAGGTTTGGCCAGCCTTCCTTCCCCAGAACATGTGCCCTCACCTGGATCTCAAGGTCGTACCCCTGGCACTTCAGAGGCCCCAGTCCTCCGTGCTAGCACTGCGCATATTTGACTAAGCAGGCAGGTATCTACCCTTGGATTAACATTCCAGACGGGCTCTGATCAAGCGACTTCCACTGAAATTATCAAAGAAGCTGGCTTTGGCTAGGAAATAACCAGCTCCCTTCTAAAGAGCTTACAGATCACTTAAAATAATATTATTAGGGAAAGGTTACATGTTCCTTGTAAAAAATTCAGGAGAGATTAACAAATCAAAGAAAATAAATATCTCAAATAATTCTTCTACTCAGACATATCTTTTTGTTATGTGTTGATTCTGTCATTAAGTATTTTTAAATGAAATACATCATACATCCAAAGAGACTATGTAAAAAAAATTATGCACAGTTTAGAGAATATTAAAGAATACTAAAGTGGGTACCAGTATAACCACCTCTCAGGTTAAGGGACAGAATTTACTAGTACCTGACTCGTTTCAACAAATAACTTCGGAATCCCAAATCATCAAAGTGTGGCGTCCTGCTTGCACTTTATTATTTTTTTGGTGGAGGTCTGCGGTGTTGGGGGAAGTGGTGGCTGCAAATTATAGCTTTATTCTTTTTACAAAATAATGACGAATTCAGCAGTAGGTGTCATTTTCCAAGTGTGGACAATCCAGATTTAGTCCCCACAAGGCTGTTCATGGATGACAATCATCTTGAAATGAAACTTGAGCATATACATGTGATTTCTCTGCCTCACCTGTCGGGTGGGGCTGCAGTCACTTGGCCCCATCCTCTAGGGAATGTGTGTGGATTCACCTCTCCACATGGCAATGGTGACTAGCGTGAGAGGTGAGTTCATAATTCAAACTGGGAGAGAGTCCTTCCCAGGACTACTGCATCTTTCCTATAAGGCAGAGAAGCTGGAAGCACATGCAGTAAGGCAGGCAGTCAATGGCTACCAACTGAATTACTGTCCCTTGCAACCAAAAGACTTTCGTCTAGAAATGCCTGGGTGGCTCAGCAGTTGAGCGTCTGCCTTCGGCTCAGGGCATGATCCTGGAGTCCCGGGATCGAGTCCCACATCAGGCTCCCTGCGTGGAGCTTGCTTCTCCCTCTGCCTGTGTCTCTGCCTCTCTCTGTGTGTGTGTGCCTCTCATGAATAAATAAATAAGATCTTAAAAAAAAAAAAAAGACTTTCATCTAGGGGTGCCTGGGTGGCATAGTTGGTTAAGTATCCAACTCTTGGTTTCCGCTCAAGTCATGATCTCAGGGTCTCTCTCCTTCTCCCTCTGCCCCTCCCCCTGCTTGTGCTCTGTCTCAAATAAATAAATAAATAAATAAATCTTAAAAAAGAAAAATGTTGGCTTATTTATCAGTTAACACACCGTTTCAGATACTAAAATTTTGATTATTTAATGCAGCTAGTGGTTTTTGCCATACATAATCTCTCAGCATACATCTCAATTATTATCACTTGGATAATAAAGCATAAATTTATGTAGTAACTATAATTTATTCTGGAATTTAAAAAAAATTCACCACTTGTAAAAAAAAAAACCCCAAAATCCAAAGAAAGATTAAAACTTCAAAATGAAAGTATTTAAAATTTAGTATTTTCCCTTTATACAAATGAAATTATGATTTATGTTTTTTTCTAAAGCTACCTTTTGTTGTTGCTTAACACTATATTTTTGAGATTAAATTGTGCTGATGCATGTAATTGTAGTTTATTTTTGCTGCTATAAAGTATTCCATTATGTGAAAATACTCCAATTTATTTATCCATTCATCTGTTGATGGACATCTGAGTTGTTTTCCATTTTTAAAATCATTTCCTTTCTCATACTTGTTTTTTGCATTTTACACTATAATGGCTTCATCAAATGAATAGGAGAAGTTCCCTTTTTTTCTCCCCTTGATAGAGTTTGTGCAGAATTGGAATAATCTATTCCTGGAGTATTTGGTAGAACTCTTTTGCAAAACCAAGTACTACTGGTGTTTCATTCATTTGATTTATTTTTAAAGCTTATAGGACCATTCCAGGTTTCTATTTCATTGCAAGTCAGTTTTGTCAAGTTCTATTTTGTTAGAAATATTTCCCTTGGGATCCCTGGGTGGTGCAGCGGTTTGGCGCCTGCCTTTGGCCCAGGGCGCGATCCTGGAGACCCGGGATCGAATCCCACGTCGGGCTCCCAGTGTATGGAGCCTGCTTCTCCCTCTGCCTATGTCTCTGCCTCTCTCTCTTCTCTCTCTCTCTCTCTCTCTGTGTGACTATCATAAAAAAAAAAAAGAAATATTTCCCTTTATCTGAGTTTTCCCTTGTTTGGGGCATATAATTGATTACAGCATTCTTTTTTATCTTTCTGTAACATCTAAAATACTATCTTCTCTAAACTCTTAATATTGTTTACTTATGATGTTTGTGATTAATATCTCTTTGTAGTTCTGTCAATTTTACTTTACATATTTTTGAAGCTAGTTTAGTGGGTACTTACATGTTTAGAATTATTATCATTGCAGTAAATAGAATATTTTTCAAAGTATGGTGACCATGTTTATCTTAGTAAAATATCTTGCTTAAAATTCACCTTGTCTGATATTAATATAGCTACCCAGATTTCCATTGGTTAATATTTGTCTAGCATATTGTATTTTTCTTTCCTTATACTTTCAATTTTTTTGTTTCCTTAAGTCTATTTCTTGTAAAAACATTTGGATATTTAAAAAATCAAATCTGGCAACCTTTGTTTTTCTTAATTGGATAGTTTATTCAATTTACATATATTGTGATTACTAATATATGTTGACTAATTTCTTCAATGTGATTTTGTGTTTTGTATTTGCTCACTTTCTCTAAATTTTCCTGTCTTTTATTGCTTTGCTTTAAATTGCCTTTTTCCCCTTCATTCTCTCTCTTACCTTGTAGAATTTTTAGCCTCTTATAAAATAATTTTAACATGCATATTTAACATAATAAAGTCTAGTGGCATGGAGCTCTCTTCATTCACTTAGTTTGCCATCCATGCCAAACGTAAGTTGGAATGAGAAACTAAGCTAAATTCCAATACTGTGTTGACTCTATTACATTACAGAGTCTAGAGATACCGGTAGTTAATATTCCTTGAGCCCCTCATAGCCTCATGGCCCATCTTGCCTTGAACCCTAAATATTGAAACTAGGGGATGTT